CCTCTCCTGCAGCCTTGCACTTCTCTTCCTGCATCTCCCGACAAAAAGAGAAGGCAAAAAAAAGCGCCCGAGCAGGCCGAAACTTCTTCGTGGTCCTTTTTATTTTTTTTTCGCCCGGCAGATCGGGTGGTGTGGAGCCTAGGGGGCTGGAGGGGTGAGAGGGGGGGGGGCGGAGGGTGCGCCCGCTGCACACAGTGCCGCAGCATTCCTCTCCATTCCCAACTGAATGTTAGGCCTGTCCTGTGGCTCTGCCCGTGTCCTGGGCTCTCGGCCCGCGCCTCCTCGACGGCGAGCTCCACGCGCCTACAACTTGAACTTGAATTACTGCTCCTGGCCTCTCCGCCTTCAACGGGAAGCTGCTGCTCCACGCCAGGATGCGCGCAAAGGGGACTGCGCGAAAATTGTGCCGTTTCGGGGGTTAGTGAATGGTATAAATTTTAACGCGGCACTTACCAGCACAGCGGGATGAAAAATTTTAGACGCGTCATATTTTTAAGAAAACTCTTTCGGAAAGAAAATTGTTGAACAAAAATGTTTTTGGCGATGCATACATAAATTGCCGTGTTAAAAAATTAATACCCTACTCATCATCATCTCCTTCCAAACAAATGACTTATAATTTGTGGACGGTGCCTGATCATATGCTTGTCCCGCTTGTCCCCTTCCTCTGGCACGCGCGCACTCTCGCGGAGCGGTGGAAGAGCGCCTGTAGGGCTCTTCACTTGGCGCGCTCTTCACGACCTACGCCGCTGCAGCGCTGGCTGCCGGCCCGGGCCGCCGCCGCCCAGGTACTCCTCGGCAGATTTTCGCACCGGCTGGAGAACTGCTTGGAGAGCCGAGGGGCGGTTAGGACGGCCAGGCCCGTCCGGTCCGCGCTGGGGCATTTTGGCGTGCTGCAGGCCGAGAGGAAGGCGGAGGGGGGAAGGGGGGGGGGGCTGCGAGACTGCCAAGGTGAACATGTCTGGGCGGGGCGCAGGCGGGGTGCTGCACCAAGCACCCCTCCCAAGAGCAGTGGCGGAGCAAAACGTGTTACTCCCGCCCTTGCGCACGAGGATCTTCGTGATCATTATTCATTATCATCATCGTCGTCTGGTCATCATGATCATCATTCATCCATCATAATTCATATCAATTAGCATTCATCCACCAGCATTCATCATCATTCATCATCATTCTTAATAACTAAGGTACCCTAATTTGCTTAATCGACATTATTCACACTTACTTTTCACCATTGATTAATGTAAATCAATCATTTTATAAATCATAAATTTAGGACCCCGACTTTCACCAAATGAACCTCCGTCATTCCTTTACTTCACTTTGTAAGTCCCGAAAGACTTCTCTGTCGCTTCCTTATTGCCTCTTACTTCCCATTTCCCTCGCCATCCTTTCCGCCTCGCCTGTCCTCCCCACCCGTCATGTGTCACGATGAGGAAGTCCGAAATCGCTCGCACGCAAAGCAACAGGCTTGTCTGGCCACTCTACTCTGCAAAAAAAATAAAAAAATAATGAGTTTCCCAATCTTTGGCTGTAAGCTATACGCTTGACGTAAGGGACCTAAGTAAAATATGCACATTACGCTTTATGGGACTCGACTCGTTTCTAATGACAAATAATCGATAGCGTTCTATTCAGACGCGCGTCGGAGGAAACCAAAAAACGCGGTGGGGAAAAATTCAAGTCAGAGCGGTGTCCGTACGGGACGTCGTCGAAACCAAGAATTCTGCCAAGTAGCTCGCGCTAAAAAGCAAACGGAGCTCTGACTTATTTTTTTTTCACCCTCCTCGTCTTTTGGTCTTCTCCCCGACGCGCGTTTGAATTGAACGCGACGGCCTTTGTGCAGCGCGGTGCAGCGTGTGCAAATAGCACCGGTAATTAAGGAGGACAAACAAAAATCTCTTTAAGGGAAACGCGCGCGAGAGAGAAAAGAGAGTATTGCACGCGGCCGTGCACTTTACGCTTGTTGTGCACTCGAGGGACGTTTCCTGCTGCACAACCAGCAGAGGTAGGAACCTCTCTGGCGAGTTTATTTTTGGCAGTGTTCATAAAATGGGTGGTTGTCATGATCCGCGCGCATGAGAATCCGCAGTGCATGGCGTTTGACATTTTATGTCCTGAAGTTTTTGATTACTTTCTGAAGGGGGATGCTGAGTGTGGCAGAGCCTCCTATGAACTGCGTCAGCCATCAAGATGGCAATAATAAGCAGTGGAATTGGAGGCCCCCTATCTGCATGCGGTTCCTACCCATCGCCAGCCGTCAGGGCGACTGGACGACACGATCCACACGATCTGATAGTCATCCGCACACATTATCATTTGTGAGCTTCGTCCGACTTCCTCCCCCAATAATACTCCCGCCTTGTTTGTCCTCTCGTCGACTGGGATACCTGGGATACCTGCGCGCCGACGATCCGTTCGGTATGAACTCCTCCAGGACTCTCACTCTCCAGGACACCCACCTGGAACAGAAAGGGGCGCGATGTATGGTTAGCGTTTGTCCCCAGAATACCGATTCACTTTCTCCGGCAGCTGCTGGAAGGGGCTTAACCGAGCGACACACACACACACACACACACACACACACACACACAGAGCAGGAGATGGGCGCGTCGCCCCCATTAGCCTCATTTTCCACTACCCTGAAAAATGAGAGGCAAATAATGCAAAAATAAAAATCAGGAAAAGTCCCTCCATCTCACGGGAATTTGCACACGAGTGTTGGAAAGAAAAGAAGCGGAGTGGGGGATCGCGGGGGGACTGGGGGGGAATTTATTTATATCCCGGGCTTCTGGGGAGGGAGAGAGGGCTTAGG